GGTACTGGGCATCTAACTTGGGACCATGTGCTTGTGAGGCAGGCAGTGGAACCACCGAGCTAAATCCCCAGCCCTTCATTTATAATTATTAAAAGGAGGCTCAGCCTGGTGTGGTGGCTGGCACACATCTGTAATCCCAGGCTGATGCAGGAGGACTGCAACTTCAAGTCCTTCCTGTGCAATTTAGTGAATCCCTATCTCAAAATAAAAAATCAGGCTGTGAATATAGTTCATTGTGAAGGTCCTGGGTTCAATCCAGCACTACAAATAGAGAGAAAGGAAGGGAGGAAGGGGAGGTGCCCAATCCAATCCCATCTTGCACAGCAGCTGCCCTGATTGCTGGCCTCACACCTTCCTGGCCCACCTTCTGTGGCCAGCTCTTTCCCATGGGCCTCAGGAGGTCCCCTTTATATCCCTGACCCTGGGTCTCCTCTAGAAATTTCCAAGCGGGAAGAGGTGGAAGCAGTGACGATTGTGGAGACACCACCCTTGGTGGTGGTTGGCGTGGTAGGCTATGTGGCCACCCCTCGAGGCCTGAGGAGTTTCAAGACCATCTTTGCAGAGCACCTTAGTGATGAGTGCCGCCGCCGCTTCTACAAAGACTGGTGAGGGCCATGCCCTAGTTGTGTGCTGGAACCAGAGGTGGGTGGATGGGTAGGAGTGGGGTCAATATTGTGTGGAAGGTGAGAAAGTGTGTGTGTGTGAGGAGTGCCTTCACTTCAGTAAGAGATCGATATGTATTAAAGGGCTGAGGAGCAAATCAGGATGGTGGAAAGAAAAAGTAAATATTTTAATTCTCAGGACTAATTTGAAGGAATTTCAGAGGAGGTTGAGCTTCCTAGTGGGCCAAGGCAAAAAGAGGAACAGCCAACTGAGAAGCTCTTGAATATAGAAAGGTATTCTCAGGTCTCAAATCTCTGGCACTAAGTTCTGATCAGGAAGGCCCACCTGCCTGGGGAACCTCACAGACACTTCTCCACACACCTTATGGGGACACAGGCAAAGCTCAGCCCTGATCCCCTATGATGGGCAATCCAGAGTCAGTGCAGGCTGTGTGACCAAGGCAAGCTGGCTCATATCCAAGCCCTCCTGCTGTAAAATGGGGCTAGGACTGGTCTCTATATTGTGAGGACTGGATGACTGAAGTGTGTCTAGTGCTTAGCTTAGAGAAAGTGACCAGCAGGTGCCATGTGTCCTGCTTTCCCTCTTTCTATCATCAATTTGCCCCTCATCTCGGTGTTTTGTTTTGTTTTGTTTTTGGTACCAGGTAGTCGAACTTGGGACCTTTTGCTAGTGAGGCAATCGGCAGAACCACTGGGCTAAATTCCTAGCCCCTCTCTGGGGGTTTTAGAACCTTAGTTTCTTCATCTAGAATGCAGAGTCATCTCCACCTTCCATAGCTCTGATGAGGGTATAAATGCTGTCCCTCTAGCCTGAGGCATGGTGTCTGCTCATTGTGCCTGCTGCAGGCTTCAGAAATAAGACCAGCAGCACAGCAATGTGGCAGGTAGGGTGGCCTCCAGGTGTGGACCCTGAGGAGGCAGGGAGGGTGCCCACTTTACAGGGAGGGGAGACATGGTGGCCTAGAGAAGGAGTCTCTGTTGAAAGATGATATTGGAACCAGCCCAGGGGCCTCAGGGCAGGGCCCTGCTTAGTGAGCTGCAGGCAGGGTCAGGGCAGGATGGCCCAGGGAGCTCCCTGACTGGGGCCCCTGAGTACCTTCTGTGGTTGGCTCAGGCACAAGAGCAAGAAGAAAGCTTTCACCAAGGCCTGCAAGAGGTGGCGTGATGCTGATGGCAAGAAGCAGCTCCAGAAGGACTTTGCTGCCATGAAGAAGTACTGCAAAGTCATTCGGGTCATTGTCCACACACAGGTCAGCCCCGCCCCCACCTGTCTGTCCACCCGTTTCCCTCCCCGTCTAGCTTCCAGGAGCCCTGGCAAATGTCAGCCTAAAAATACCACAAGTCTTGGGCATAGGACTAATGACTGGCCCAATGCCTTGCTGGCCATCACAGCCCCAGGGACAGGATATTGTCAGTGCCTGCCAAGGGGGTCCAGGACATTGGCTATGTCCTGTAGTCACCTGAAACCCTAAAATGGCCAGAAGGGCTTGGGTCTCCTGCCAGTCCAGTGTGCAGGGCCATTGCCTCCCTGGCCTGAGAGTGTGTGTGATTCACTACCTGGGGTCTGGCTCCATGTGGGGGACAAGTAACCGATATCCTTTGGCTTCTTCAGGTACACTCCTTGGCATGTTGTCTTCAGGGGAGGCTGCCTCTGCCCCTCTCTAGAGCCTGTCAGCCCCTGAATATACCCCTCCCGCCAGTTATACACTTGCAGTTCGTGGGTAGAGTCATGCTTAATGTCTATCTCCCTCCACCGACTTGAGTTTGCTCCAGGGGCCAGTGCCCAACAAAAACTTAGTATGCAGTAGGTGCTTCGTAAATATTTGCTGGATACTACGCTGTGATCTAACTGGCCTGTTTCCACCTGTACATCCCATAGTCTATGCCTCATGTAGAATCAGCCAGAGACCTACTGGCCAGTCACATCACATCTGGTCCTCCCTACACAACCTCCCTGCTACTCTTTGCTCACCACCATCTGGCCCCACTGATTTCATTTTTCTTTTTCTTTTGGAGACAGACTCACTGAGTTGCCCAGATTGGGCTCGAACTTTCAATCCTGCCTCAGCTTCTCAAGTTCTAGCATTATAGGCATGTGCCACCACCCCCAGCTTGGTCTTTCTGTCCCACCAACTCTTCAAGATCTTCCCAGCCACAGTGACCTTGTACATGCTGTTCCTTCTGCCCAAAATTTTCTCTGATCTTTACCTCATGACTCCTTTCTGTTATTGGTGTCACCTACTCAGAGAGGCCCTCCCTGACCACTCTCTGAAGTACCTCCACAAACACACCATAGTCTATCAGAGTATTCAGCCCTCTCCAAGAGTTTACTTGGCTTCTGTCCATCCCCTAGACTGAGGTACAGGACCGTATCTGCCTCATTCCACGCTATAACCACAGTGCCTAGCATGGCGCACAGTGGAGAGCTGGGCACAAGAACATTTGTGAATGAATGCGTAAAAGACTTCAGGTCACCAAGTGGCAATGCCATGTCTGCAGGTGTAAGGGGAATGTGACCTTCTTGGATCTGACCATTGTGCCACGTCCTGCAGATGAAGCTGCTGCCCTTCCGGCAGAAGAAGGCCCACATTATGGAGATCCAATTAAATGGTGGCACGGTGGCTGAGAAGGTGGCCTGGGCTCAGACCCGGCTGGAGAAGCAGGTGCCGGTACATAGTGTTTTCAGCCAGAGTGAGGTCATTGATGTCATCGCTGTAACCAAGGGCCGGGGTGTCAAAGGTAAGGCCTGGCGTGAATGTCAGCTCTAGGAAGCCTGCTGAAGGTAGTGGGAGCCAGACTGCCCAGACACCAGCCCATCCCACCTGCAGGGGTCACCAGCCGCTGGCATACGAAGAAGCTGCCACGGAAGACCCACAAGGGGCTACGCAAGGTGGCCTGCATTGGTGCCTGGCACCCTGCTCGTGTGGGCTGCTCCATTGCCCGGGCTGGGCAGAAGGGTTACCACCACCGCACTGAGCTCAACAAGAAGGTGTGTCCATGGTCCTGGGAGGGAACACAGTGGGTGTGCATGGTCCAGACGCTTCCCAGGCACCTGGGTCTGAGCGCCTATGCAGATGGGTGGGGACACGCCCCTGGCCCCAGAGCCTACCTCTGGCCCCTAGTGTGCCCTCTTCTCCTGGCAGATCTACCGCATTGGCCGAGGGCTCCACAAGGAGAATGGGAAATTGGTCAAGAACAACGCATCCACCAGCTATGATGTGACAGACAAGTCCATCACACCACTGGTGAGGGTGAATGGCTAGGCTGGCTCAGGGGGCCTGGCAAGCATGAGGGGGCGGGCTCCAGCCCTAGCTGAGTACTGTCCTGCTCCAAAAACTCAAGATGTGTGCCTCACAGGCAGACTGGGGCACAAGGCCCTACTAGGTGCGCAGTGCTGTGGGCCTTCATGCAGCAGCAAGCAGCCAGCTGGTGCTTCAGTCTCTGCCACCTGCCTCCTCTGAGGAGCTCACGCCAGCTGAATGCGGGATGCTGCAACTCCTACCATGGTCTGGGAGCCAAACCTCAGCCCAGTGGAGCCTGCAGCATGTGATGCCAACCTTCTGAACTTTAGTTTGGCCCCATAAAAATACAGTTGTTGCTAGGTGTGGTGATACACACCTATAATCAATCAGCACTCAGGAGAATGAGGCAGGAGGATCACAGCAAGTTTGAGGCCAACCTGTGGTACAGAATGAGTTCAAGATCAGCCTGAACTACATAGTAAGACTCTGTCTCCAACAAAAACAGATATTGGGTGAGATAATGGACTAAAAGGACTTAGCATGTGGCTAAGATGCTGCCCTGATTAAGTGATCTCTCTCCTGAAGTCTGGGCACAGGGCTCCTTGCAAACACTGCCCTATGTGAAAAATTTTCCTAGCCACCGCCTCCCCCGCCCCACCCTCCCAGCTGCCCTTTCTGGCATGGCCTCTGGCTTTTCTCCCTCATAGGGTGGCTTCCCCCACTACGGGGAAGTCAACAACGACTATATCATGCTGAAGGGTTGCATCGCAGGTACCAAGAAGCGGATCATCACGCTGAGGAAGGTCAGTGCAGCACACAGTTGGGAGACAGGTCCCCTACTGGCTGCCCCAGCCAGCCTGTCATCCCGCAGCCTGCAGCCCGGGGTGGACTAGGCTGTGGGAACGAAAAGGCGAGGAGGTGGGTGAGGGGACTTTCCTGGTCGGAACGGAACCCGAGGTGGTGACTGGAGGGTCTAGGGCCCACCCACCTTAACAACACTTGTCCCTGGGACCCCCAGTCCCTCCTGGTGCACCACAGCCGCCGAGCCCTGGAGAACATTGAGCTCAAATTCATCGACACCACCTCCAAGTTTGGCCATGGCCGCTTCCAAACAGCCCAAGAGAAAAGGGCCTTCATGGTAAGCCAGTCCCATCTTTCTCTGGGGCTCCAGCCCCACCTCCTGCCTGCTCCAGAGTAGGGAAGTTGGACGCAGAGAGCTGGCAGGGCCCCGCACTCACCCACAGAAGGGGCTTTTAGGGGTCCAGCCTGGGTGGCCTGGCGTTGGCCATGGGCGGTGGCCCCGGACAGACTTGTGATTAACGCTTCTCTTGCCCTCTTCAGGGCCCCCAGAAGAAACATCTCGGGAAGGAGAAGCCAGAGGCCTCAGGAGATTTGTAGGCAGTGCGGGATGGAAGGACCTGAGGCGTGCACCCGGCTCACTGCGGGCCCGTCCGGTTCAATAAATGTTGGAGGCAACTTGGTGTCTCAGAGAGTCGGAGTCGCAGAAAGGCCAGTTGACGGCCAGCCGCCTGAGGTTTAGTTCTAGAGACAAGACCAGGGAAAATGGCTCCGGCAATGGTCACTCCACGTACCGGCCCCACCTCACAAGGCCCGCCGGCTTTAGGGCTGGGGCAGAGCTTCGTGGAAGCAGCTCAGGAGTGGCCATTCGGAGCCATCGAGGGGCGGGGCCTGCTGAGAAGACGAGATTCTACAGGTCCTCGGCGGAAGCGGAACCCGCGACCCAAGATTGGTTCTCGGGAGGGGGCGGGGCCTTTGGGAAGCGGGCGAGGGAAAAATCCTGGCGCCTCTGTGTGATTGGTCCTCTTCAGGGGCGGAGCTCAGACGTATGGAGTGAATGATTGGTCCTTGGGAAGGGGCTGCTGGCTGGGGTACAGGCTTCGGAATTAGAGACCTTGGGGCTGTCTCTTCGGCGCCATGGCGTTCTGCAGCTTCTTCGGGGGCGAGGTTTTCCAGAACCACTTTGAACCAGGTCCGGCCTATGACCTCTTGTATTAAAGGGGATGTCGCCGCCCTCCGGAGTCGGTGCAGCTCGGGGCCCTGGAATGGGACGAGTGTGACCATCCGAAGGAGCGAACTTGGGGAAAGGTGGTCGCGGAGAAGGTGGTAGTCTGGAGAGCCACGGGAGTAGGGAAACTCTAGGGGACAGGGGTATGGGGGGAGTTGCTCGCCCGGAGGAGACAGGCTTCGAGCCTCACCGTGACTATTCCTGGGGTAACCGAGTCAGGTTCGGGACTTCGGAAGGGCACAGTAGAACATTTGCCCCGGAGCATTGCGAGGTGTTACCCCGGTTGTTTTGCTTTCTAGGATCCGCGGGTAAGTGTGCAATCACCGAATATCCTATTAAGATGAGAATGTGCCAGCCCAGATGCCTCCCCACCTGCCCAGGGCCTCTGGTTGGGTAACCAAGAGTGCCATTGGGCCCCTGGCAGTTAAGTTTCTGTCTAGTGAAGTTTATATAGCCTAGGTGTGGTAGTTTGGACCATGGCCAGCTCTCAGCCCTGACCCCAGGCTGTGTGAGGCCTTGGTAAGTTCTAGCTGGACTCTCCAGATAGTGGACTAATTTAATAAAAACAGGTCCATAGGGGATTGGTTTCCCTGGGGTAAGATCTGTTGGCACTAGGCTGTGAAACTATGTATCTGTGGGACCAGTTGTGACACAGGACCACCAGGCAGAAGCCCTCCCCTGGATCCCAGTTGTCCTAAGGCTGTCCTGATGAGCTGGAACTCCACTTCTGGGGCATCTCCCTGTGTCTGTCTTGTCTTTTTCTTTCTCTTTCAGACAGGGTCTCATTATGTAGTACAGGCTGGCCTTGAACTCCAAGCAATCCTCCTGCCTCAGTGCATGTGCACCACCAATTTATGCTTCACTCTTTTTTTTTTTTTTTTTTTTGGACTGGGGATAGAACTCAAGTCCTTGGGCTTGTGAGGCAGGTGCCAGGAGCACTGAGCTAAATCCCCAGCCCTATGCTTCATTCTTGAGTTCCTGGTAAAGGCTGAGCAGCAGTTCACACACTCCTGGAAGACTGTTCTGGTTGGGGGTTGAGAGGTGACTCAGTACCTTTGGAAATTCCTGTTTTTAGTTCTTCAAATAGTTCTGTAAATCAGGTTTGCAATCTTCCCAGCCCTTTCTTTCTACTTAAGAGTGATCTTTTGGGGACATGTTGGAAGCTGTCTTCCCAGCCCTTGTGTCCCTGGGCTTCTTGTCTAGTTCAAAGGCTTGATCTCTGGGACCATTCTTTTCCTGCCTAGAGAAAAGACCAGTGGAAGGAGTGCTCAGATTAGGGTTTTGTTGGATAGCAGGGTTGGCCACTTGAAGAGGGAGGGGAACCAAGTGTTTAACATCGACCATGTCAAGGCCTTCACTGTGTGTGGTGCTATGCTATGTTAGCAAGTGCGTCCTGTGCTTTCATCAGATTGGCTGGGTTCTTCCCTGGTCACACTCTGTTTTGTTTTTTTTTTTCTTTTGAGACAGTCTCACCATGTAGCTCAGGCTGGCCTTGAACTCATGGTGATCTTCCCAAGTGCTGGGATTGTAGGTATGCTTGGCTTTAATTTTTGTTTGTTTTGTCCTGGCCACATACTTTTTACTTGGTACCTGCAACACCTAACCTCAGCTTCCCCATCTGGAAGGTGGATGTGCTAATGATTCCATATCAAAAGCCCATTGAGGGCCGGGGATTTAGCTCAGTGGTGCTGCCTGCCTTGCAAGTACAAGGTTCTGAATTCGATGCCAGGTACCAAAACCAAAAACCAAACCAAAACAAAAAAGGGCCATTGAAAGAGTCAGTGAGATGTATGTGAAGGGTGAGTCCTGGTCCCTGGCACATCCCCTGAGCATGAGCTTGGTGCTGTCTCTCCAGGACCAACCCGTGGCCTGTGAGCAGCAAGTGCATGGGAAGTATATGCATCCCACCTTAGAAAGGGGGCAGTACTGGCCACATCTAGGTCCAGGGATTGGGGAGCTCACCCGACAAGATGGAGCTGACATCTCTGCTTTTGCCTTCCTTTGCCCAAGGTATCTATGTGTGTGCCAAGTGTGGCTATGAGCTGTTCTCTAGCCGCTCAAAGTATGCACACTCGTCTCCATGGCCAGCATTCACAGATACTATCCATGCTGACAGTGTGGCCAAATGTCAGGAGCGGAACCGACCTGGAGCCCTGAAGGTAGGTGACAGCGGCTGGGGCTGTCGTTCCTCAGGGAGTGTCAGTGTCATCCTTTCCTTTCTTGGTTCCCTCTCTGTGGTCAGTTTCGAGACTTCTGGCCTTAGCCTCAGGAGTTGCCACCCTAGTCTTGGGTACAGCCTGGTGTCCTGATGGAACATGGACAGCAGGGCAGCAGTATCCCTGACAGGCTGTAGCCAACCTCTCACAGCAGAAGGCCAGTGCCCTGACTGTTTTGTGGGGCCGGAAGCTCACGTGGTTATCTCATGGTCTTTCCAGGTATCTTGTGGCAGGTGTGGCCATGGGCTGGGCCACGAATTCCTGAATGATGGCCCTAAGCAGGGACAATCTCGATTCTGAATATTCAGCAGCTCGTTGAAGTTTATCCCTAAAGGTGAGTTTGTTGGTCTGGGGTAGGAGGAGTATGTTGTGCTCATCTCCTTATCATGGCAAGGTATGGGGGCACTAGATCATGCAGCCCCGGGCCTGCCCAGCCAGGGTCACCCCAACCAGTGGCTGCTGTGGGCACCCAGTGGGCAAGGAGAAGGGGACAAATGTCCTGCTTTTTTCTGTGGACCAGGTATGCCCCAAAGAGGCATCTGAGGGAGGGTGTGGCAAAAAGTTTTTCTTATGGTCTCCTCTTTCCCTGCAACTAGAATTAATGACAGGGACAGGCAGAGGCTGAGAACCGGACCATGCAGCCATGTCTCACTGGCTGCAACCTTGGGTTTGCTTCTCAGTCTCTGAGCCTGCTTCCTCATCTGCACAATGGCCATTGAGGACAGCTGTGTGTACTGCAGGGCCCCTGGACATAGTAACACCTCATTAAACCTGCACTGCTACTGGCAACATTCTTAGCAGTTTTTTTCTTTTGTAGTCCTGGAGGATCGAATCCAGGGCCTTTGCTCTGAGCGACACCTCTACCCCTTTTTGTTATGTTTAATTTTGAGACGTAGTCTTGCTAAGTCCCTGAGGTGCCCAGGCTGGGTTCAGACTTGCAGTCTTCCTGCTTCAGCTTCCCAGAGGGCTGGGATTATTGGTTTGGGCCCCCACGCTTGGCTTCGCAGCAGTTGGTGTTGGGGACTGTTTGTCGTTTGTGTGTACTCTACCTCAGCCTCCTTTGCCCCCTGCTCTCCTGCTCACACTGAGCCTCATGCCTTGTCAGTCTGCTTGCAGACATGGATGGACCCAGCCACCCCTGCGCCTTCGCACTTTGTAGTGTGAATCCCAGCTCTTCCTGGCCCTGTTCAGACTGTAGCCAGTCCCTTCCGTCTCAGTTTCACACTCTATAAAATGGGGCTGTCAGTGGCATATGTCACTGAGTGAGTGGTTTGTAGGGGCCTGCTACATGATTAGTCTGCCATGATGTTTTTGTCCTTTTGTCATTTTTCGTGCAGAGAAAGAACTTCAGGTCTTCTGTAAATCTCAGGGAACACACAGGCCACACAGGAGTTGAGCCTCTGGGCCTGTTGACTTGCCTGGTGTCTGAAACATCATTTAACGGTGACTTCCTTTCTCTCCTTTCCCTCCTTTCTTTCAGACAAAGAAACTTCAGCTTCCCAGGGGCACTAGACGGGCATCCCGCACCCTCCAAGACAGACAAGACAGATTTGCACTGTGACTGCGCCCTCACCATCACACCTTGACATTGGAATTCTAGACACTTAGATAGCATTCTGAACAGGGTCTCCATGGCAAAGCACTTGTTTGCAATATTCCATAGTCTTTTTGTTGTTGTTGTTGTTGTTGTTTTGAGACAAGGTCTCACTACATAGTTGAGACTAAGCTGGAACTCACTATGTAGTCCAGGCTGGTCTCGAACTCACAGCGATCCTCCTGCCTCAGCCTCCGGAGTGCTGAGGTTACAGGAGGGCGCCACCACGCCCGGCCTCCATAGCCTTTTGCTAGGATAGGCTTTGGGGCAGGGTACATGCTGCTGGCTGTCTTAGCCTCTGTCTCATAGTCTCCAGAAGGTGAGCTCTGGGCTCAGCTCACCTTTGAAGATGTTGTGCCTCTACCTTTGCTTTTTTTTTCAGTTTCTTGCCCTTCCTTGGCTTTCTGGACCTCCCCCTGTGGGGCTCTGGTCCTCACCAAAGCTTATGTCCATCTTCCCAAGGCTGTGCTATGACACAGAACTTAAAAGGGGACTGCCCTGGCCAACTGCTTCAGCCCTGGTCACTGCATGATCTGCTCTGGATAAACCCCTTCTTGGCCAGCCAGGGTGGTGATGATCTGTGACTTGCTGGGGAGCAGGCCAATAAGCCACACCGTGGAGCGTTGTGCTTTAGCAGAAGAACCCGAAGATGTTTCACAATCTGCAGATGCAGCTTGCTTCACTCAGGCTGGGGAAGCTGTTGCACCATTGTCTCATGAGCTCAGCGGGGGCTACAGGATCACTCCCTCCAGTTCACACTTCCCAAGATTTGGCCACTGTGCCTTACCGTGTCAGTGTCCAGAAGCTCTTGTCATCCAGGAGGGTGGGTGGTGCTGCAGCCTGCCCTTCCCTCCCCCATCTTGAGTACTTTCTGGAATAATCAGGTGGAAATCAATAAACAGACAAAACCTGGGCTTGCTACGCTTTTCTTTCCTCCTTCCGTGCTGAGGTTGAACCCAGGCATTGCACAATCCAGGAAAGCACTCTACCAATGAGCTACACCCCCAGACCCGGCCTGCTGCCTTTATTAACATCAGGGATGTGAGGATGTAAATGTCAGGCCTTTACACAGTTTTTAAATTTGCTTTGCAAATATTTGCTGCCCAGTTCTGGGCTTGGTGCTGAGGATACAGTTAGTTGTCAACCCTTCAAGGTCTCACAGTGAGGGGATGTAGACATACTAAATTAATATAAGATGATGTTAAGGGCAGTGAGCAAGTAGCAGAGTACTGGTGCTAGAACGTGTAGAGGGCAACTAGGGGGCTATTGGTGGCCTGCAGTAGTCAGGGTGGAAGGGAAGAGGGAGGGGTCATTTGAGCTTAGTGACAGGTGAGAAAATTTCGAGGAGCTTTCCATGCAGTGGAGATGGTATGCAAAGCCCCTGAGACCGCAGCAAACCCTGCTTCAGGCCCTGAAGAGAGAGATACAAAGTGACCCATGAGGATCTGTGCTATAATCTATAAGAACTACATGATTTTTCCGATTTATATGGAAAGAAGGCGGGGGTATGAGTAGAAATGGATATTGGTGTGAAATGGTGGGGGGTAGCAACATAAAGTTTGCTCAGGCTAGCTTTATTGGTACATGGCCGCTAAGCAGAGGTGGATTCAGTGCTGCAGCTCCAGGGTTAGAAATGGCTCTATAACAGTTCAGTTCATTGGTGGGCTAAAACATGGGCTGCACAAAATGCAGCTGAAATACCAGATCTGCCTTGGTTTAGTGTAGAATGGGAGTTGGGGGTCTATGGAGAATGCAAAGTTAGTGTAGATTGGTAGCCAGACCTGGTGGTACATGCCTGTAACCCTAGCACTCTGGGATACAGAAGCAGGATGTTTCAAAATTTGAGCCCAGCCTGGGCAGTTTAGCAACTTAATGAAACCCTGTCTCAAAAACAAAAAACCAAAACATGCCCAGGAAGGCCCTGAAGACACACCTCAAAACACACCTTGAGCCACGGGAGAAATGTTTGTGAGGGGATCCCCGGCATCCTTGAAGAGCTCCATGGTTGCTCTACTTTAGTGGGAGCCACGGCCATTGGATTAAGAGCTAAATGCAGTACAAGTCACTGGAATCTGGGTGTGAGCCTGATGAGGGCAGTTGCCTGTACCCCACACTCATTTGCACACCCACGTTAAGGAGACAGGGAGGCCGTGGGAGTGCTCAGGCTGAACCCAGGCATTGCACAAGCCAGGAAAGCACTCTACCAATGAGCTACACCCCCAGACCCGGCCTGCTGCCTTTATTAACATCAGGGATGTGAGGACATTTAGATGGAGAGGTCCAATGGGGGCTGGCCAGCGATGTCCTCAGAGGGCATGGGAGACAGGATGAGGCCCAGGGCCTCTCACATGAGGAGCCAGGAAGCAGACGGCTGTGGATAGGGTCCATCTGCCAGGCAGCTGGAAGAGGGGAGATGGCATCTCCAGCTTAATGTCTGAATGGAATCAAAATTTCCCCACACTCCTCCTGCTGTGTTGTACCATAACTTTCAGCCCAGCCTGGAGCCAGTTCCTCCTGGGGAAACGAAAGGCCCTTTGACAGCACACTGCTCCTCTTCCTTACTTGTACCCTATTTGCCAGGTAGAGCCCCCGGGCACATCCTTGGAGACCAGGACTGGGTGTTCTGCCAGCCACCTCAGCCACTGGCAGGGCTGGGCCAGCTGGGGTGGATGGCTTGGATCTGGGAAAGAACAGGGAAACTCCAGCAGGGGCTGAGCCAGCTCTGAGGGGTATCAGCAAACACTTGCTGAATGAGTGAGCTGACATTGGTTTGGACTTTCAGTCCTTTCCAATTTTCCTTTCCCTGGGTGACAAGTGGGAAAGAGCCCTGACCTTGGTGGGATGTGGCAGGGGGCTCAGGACCCAGGGAGAACAGGTGGGAGGGGGCATCTGGAAGGGTTGGTGAAGATCATTGCCAAACTAGATGGGGCCGTCTTGTTCTCCATCCACCCCTATATGTTTTTTTCGTTTTGAGACAGAGTCTTGCTATGTAGTTCAGGTTGGCCTCAAACTCACTATGTAGCCAGGGCCGTCCTTGTACTCACAGCGATCCTCTTGCCTCAGTTTGCCGAGTGCTGGGATTACAGGCGTGCGCCACCACGTCCCTTCTCTACCCCCATATGTAAGAAGCCCACCAGGGGGCGCAGTAGCTCCGTGTGACATGGCAGCCAGAAAGACTGCAGTTCCACAGACACCTCCAGGGGCAATGTGGCTACAGTTTTGACGACAAGGCAGGTCGCTGCGCCCAGCTCTGGGTGTCAGAGCAAGTCCCTTCCTCTGCTGCATCTGCAGAAATGTCAGTGCCCAGGACGCTGGCCTAGGCCTTGCCTGCTGTGGTCAGTGGGTGCGGGCCTGCTGGGTGGGTGGGGGCGGAGACCAACCTGCTAGGCTTCATGAAGTGACTTTTACAAAGGTGAGCAGTCAAGGCCCCAGGTGCCCCTTCAAGCCGGGTAGATCTGAGGGTGGGGGAGAGAAAAGCAGTAAGAACAGCTGGCGAGGTGCGTGGGCATGGAGTGCATGTAGGATGCCCCAGCCCCTGGCCAGCCTACTGGGTGGGACTCCATGCGCCCATGCCCTCCCCCACTACCAGCCTGCAGCCTTTCCACTGCCACCTGGCCTGCCCCCGAAGGCCTCTTTCCTCTGCCCACCGCTCATAACCCAGAGGACACTTAGCTGGCTATCCATCCCCTTCTTTGTGAACAATAATCAGAGCATCTCTAATCAAGGTCTTTACACTCCAGCAACTCCCACCCCCAATTTTAGTGAGCAGGTTTTTCTAAGCCTCTAAATTGCCCAGGCTGGGACTGAACTCGGGATCCTCTTGCCTCAGCCTCCCAGAGTGCTGAGTTTACAAGCAAGCATCACCATGCCCAGCTATAACGATGTTTTTAGTATCCACACTCCCTGTCTGGGAACCCCAGACACCATTCTAGACTCATGTTGCTCTTGGTCCTTGAGTCTGCTGTTCTTTCTTCCTCTCTCCTCCCCGTGTGTCAGAATCCTCCCAGTGGAGCTGCCCCATGGCTCCCTCCTCTCCACAGGAGGGGAACTAGTGCTAGTGGGCCTCCTATACACAGGCACATGCCTGGTCTCATAGTCTGTGCTGATTCCTCTGGGAGACCATCGGAAAGCAGGGTGTGTGTGTGTGTGTGTGTGTGTGTGTGTGTGTGTGTGTGTGTGTTGGGAGACAGAAGCAGGGGGGGCCACGCCTCTGCAGAGGGGGTCTAGCTCCTTCTGGTATCCCTGCAAGAAGCAGGTGGGGCCACGCCTCTGCAGAGGGGGTCTAGCTCCTTCTGGTATCCCTGCAGCTGCAGACAGGATCCTTGTGGGTCTGTGAGTGCGGCACGGCTGCTGAGAAGAGGAAGATCTCACTCCTCTCTACTCCCGCGCATGAGAACTGTTTCCTGTCTCCCTCTGACAGAGGGATTCTTGTCTGCCCTGGCAAACTCTGGCGAGCCTCAAGGCCCTTCTTTACTCTGCCAGTGTCTCCGAGTCACTAGGAGGAAGAGAGGCTGGGGAAGCCTTTCCCCTCTACCCTTGTCCCCAAGGTGAGCGCAGCTCTAAGGCATATGTTCTTGTGCCATTTTCACTGTCACATGTCCACTGCCTCCTTGTTCCTAGTAGCCAGGTACTCAGGGAGGTAGGGGCTGGTACTACCTTTGTTTAATAAAGCGGGAGAGGGAGGACCAGAATGTTGGATCCCTGCTAAGGTCACTTAGCAGGAGAGGGCAGAGATGCCCCTCTAGAGTCCTAGCTGTCTGCATTGTCCTCTCCCTGATGATAGCTCCTGTCCCTTTTCATTCCTCTCTAGGGTTAACTGAGGGCAGTAGGCTCTGAGAGTGATTGGGATGTAGGCCTCTCTTAGGGGTCCCTCCCCAGTAGGGAGCCACATCCTCTATGTGCTTGGGCAAATCTGGCATCCAAAGTGGAAAAACCCCACAGAAATCAAGGACAGCTGGGTCAGCCCTCCAGTCACAGCCCCCACCCCTCTGATTCTGCAAACAAGCAGCAGTGGGTCTGGGGGGTAAAGAAGGGTGTGGTTCTGAGGCAGGGAGTTCCTGGAACTCCTGAGCGTGTGATTTCCACACCCACCACTGTTCCCCACAGAGGAAAGATCTCCACAGTATTGGTAATCACTTTCCAGCATGGGGCACTGCTGAGGGGGCCCTGGCTGGAGGCCCACCCTGGGGTGGGGACAGATTGGGAAAGAGGCAGAGAGGGGCACACCCAGACTCAGAGAGACATACACACCACTCAGCATTGAATGCTCACTGGGGTTGGGTGTGAAGCCATTGTAGGGGTTGAGACTAAACTCATTCCTATTCTTGCCCAGCTGCATGGAGATGTGGAGACTGATAGGAATCAAAATCACCCTCAAGCTGGGTGTGGTGGCACATTCCTGTAATCCCAGCACTCGGGAGGCTGAGGCAGGAGGATCGCTGTGAGTTTGAGACCAGCCTGGGCTACATAGTGAGTTCCAGGTCAGTCTCAACTATGTAGTGAGACTCTGTCTCAAAAAAACAAAAACAAAAACAAAAAACAAATCACCCTCAAACTGGGCATGGTGGCATATGCCTATAATTCCAGCACTCTGGGAAGCTGAGGCAGAGGAAAAGAAGTTCTAGTCCAGCCTGTGCAATTTAGCAAAACCCTGTCTCAAAAATAGAAAAGGAAAAAAGGGATGGGGATGTAGCTCAGCGCAAAAGTCAGTACCAAAAGAAGAAAAAAGAATCACCTACAAAAAAATGATCACAGTTGTGAAGGGGGCAGAGTGGAAATCCGTGAGGCCAGCCTGGTCCTTCCTCTTACCGTGACCTTGCTCCCCAGAACTCCCTCCCCAAACTTTCCCTATCCCTCCATCTGGCCTGGCAGACTGAGCAGCTCAGCCCCCTCCTCTCCCAAGTCTGCCCTTCTCCCTACCCAACCCCCCTAATGCTGCTATCTTGGTGACGGAGGCCCAGGCCAAGGAAGATGGACAGATCCACCCTCTGCCTGGCAGTCTTGCTCCAACAGGGCGCCTAGATGAGCTCCCTGTGGGGCCTTGTGTCTTTAAGGCTATTTAAAGGAGATCTCTGGGCAGAAGGAACTTGTTGATGTCCATTTCCGGGCAGCAGAGGTACAACCAAAGAGCAGAGGCAAGTGAGCCGCCCAGGGCTGTGTGCCTCAGAGAGGGGAGTCCACTGACCCTCAGTTGCAGAGGCTGGCCCTGACAGCAAAGCAGGGCACGAGTGGAGTGGAGGAGCTACTCAGATGTCCTGGGGTGGAAGGAGGAAAGCACCCGTGCAAGTGAGGAACATGGAATAAATGGAAGTTTTTGAGTTCAGCCTGGGAAACTTTGCAAGTTAAATGCTGGCCAGAGAACTACCTAGCAAGACCCTGCCTCAAAAAAAAAAAAAAAAAAAAAAAAAAAAAATCAAACAAAAGGCCAACCTCCTCCAACCAAAAAACATTGTATGTGAACATTCACAGCAGTATTGCTCATTAAAACTGAAAAATAGGACTAACTCAAATGGTCTTTGGTGGATAAAAGGCTAAAGGAAGTGTGGCCCATCACACCAAGGAACAGCACTGAGCCACAATGAGGAGCGAAGCCGTGACACCCGCTACAACTCAGATGACCCTGGAGAACACTATGCTTGGTGACAGAAGCCAATTCCAGAAGGACAGCTACTGTATGACTCCGTTTCTGTGAAATGTCCAGAACAAGCAAGTCTGTAGGGCAGAAAGTATGTTGATAATTGCCAGGGCCTTTGACAGGGAGGGGGAGAATAGGGAGTGACTGCTCATAGGGGTCCTAGTTTGTTTTGGGGTGATGAAAATGTCCTAAAAGAGGCTGTAGCCATTATTACACAACATTGCGAATATATCAGGAACCCGAGTTCTAAATTGTATGGAATATGGATTGTACTTCAATAAAGTTGTTATCAAAGAGGCTCTTCCATCAGGACTGAAAGCTCCCTCTAGAAAGAAAGAACTGGACTCAGAGTTGGCCAGAGCCTGAGGCTACCTAGCTAGAGAAAGATGGGCTGCGGCCAGCCTCAGGCTGGACTCTAACCCCCGCATCCTCCTAGGGATGAGCTTGAGGTGACCCTCTCCTGCAGCACAGATTTTACCCTGACCTTCCTCTGCCTGCAGTGCTCTTCTCCTCCTCACCTGGCAAGCACCTCCAGAAAACCTCCACTGACCTCTCCCTCTCATATGCTTCCTCTGACCTGCATTTCTTGACGGTCTGCTGGATGCCAGGCTCTGGGCTAGGTGCTGGGGATACTTTAGTGAAAGAGCCCTCAAGTTGCCATCCCAGGCATTCCCAGATTTGCACTCACCTTTACCAGAGAGCCAAAGAGAGGGTGCAGGGAGATCAACTTCCTAACCTTCCAGGCCGACTCCCATCTCTACCTCCATCCTTCTGGTCAATGCCTCTGGGAAGTCTTCGGTCCTCAGCAGCGAAGGGGCTGAGAAAAAGGAATACATCAGGGCAAAGGGCAGAACCAAGACTAAGTGGTGGAAAGACTAGCTGGCTCGGGGGGGGGGTGTCACCAGGGACTGCGTGCAGGAATTTGGAGTCCTGAGCCATGACTGCTTAGGCTGCGTGGGGTAGGCCTTCCCCAGGAGGCTTTGAGAGAACTAGCCCATCTGAGACGAGTCCCATTTTAAGCTAGACCTGAAGAACTTCCTGGGACCTTGCATGTGCCAGCATGCTCACCAGATGGTGCTGTGCCAACAACCCACCCACATGGGTGCTGGCCTAGGCCTGCCATGGCAAGCAGGTGCAGCTGCGGTGTCTCGCACCTGGAGCCCCGTCAGTGGTCTTCACTTCATTGGCCCTGTGTGGGGCCCTCTGGCCAGAGATGCCCCTAGTGGGAGCCCTGGAAATGTCTGGGCCATGAAGGCTCTATGTTCCTCGTGGGCACTGGGGTCTCTGGGACTTATCCAGAGGCCATTAGTCCCAGGAATGGCTCATGAATGAGCAGAACCCAGGGCATAAAAAGGCTGGGCATCTGTAGGTGTGCGTGTGGGGCTGGCACCACGCCTGTTGCCAGGAAAGTTGAGGCAGAGGCAGAGAGAGGTTTTAAGAACAAACCCACCTTTTCCCAGGGATGGACAAGCTGCTCACCCTCTCTGAGCCTCGCTCCTCTCCCCTGCTTTCTTTGCTGGCTATGCGGGGTGGGGAAGGGGTGTCAAATCTGGGGGTGGGAAGCCCCCGTTGTGACAGGTGCCCAGTGGATGCCATGGCTCTGAGAGGCCTCCTCAGTCTCTGCCCTGACAGGACCTGGGCACAGGTCTCTCTGAATCCTTAACAACTCCAGGTGGAGCCTCTTTCTCATCCTCCCACAGAGCGTACTGAATCCCAAGGGACCAGGTAACCTAGGCTGGGCAGGTGTGGTGTGGAGAGCGTCAGGAGATGAACCTGAATTTGCTCCCTGGGCGCTGGGGAGGGCGCCTCTCCCAGCAGGTCTGCTGAACTCTACAACGCCAACCAGATGTCAGTAGCTCTCACGGAGGAGGCAGGAATAGGCTGACTTTCGGTCGGGAGTCCAAGGCGCCTATCGCAGACCCCCGACCGTTAGGGAGCACTCTGCAAACGAGGCTGCCGGCCAGGCCTCAGACTGCTGGCTCTGCTAGCTTTTCTGGCCCACCCGGCTCAGCGCCGAGGCTCCCAAGCAGGCGTCCGTCCAGAAGGCATGTGTGGGGGGTGAGCCTTCTACGGGGAAGTCGTGTGTAGGGGCGCAGCCCTCTCACCGCCTCGCGTCCCCGGTGCGGCAGTGGAGACGCGCAGCCCAGGGTCTCGCAGC